CAAAAGTGCTGAAGCTGCATGTCAGTACAGCTGTATGTTAGCATCTTTCCTCGCACGAGTGCAATTTTAAAGGAATTCTTTAGTACTGCAAAGGTGCAGTCACAGCATATTGATGTAAGTAAGTGGAAGAGCTGGTGATCTTAACAGGAAGGTATATAGCTACTGATTTTTTACTTTTGTGCAGTGATACATTCAGCTGTATTTAAGTGCAGAGTGTTTTCATCTCTCCTTAATCTGTGTGGATTAAAAACAAGGCTCTTAAAGGTATGGGTGATCTCAAGGCTGAACTGTAAAAGAGTAGTCCTGCTGCCACTAAGTGTAAGAATGCAAAATCAGTCTTCCATTTTCTTATATGTAGATTAGTTCTTGAATTAGGAGGACTGTGAATTGAAAAAGCACAGGCAGTTTTTGTTCTGCACAACTGGTGTTTTGCAGGGTCTGCTTTAGGTATATCTCATATGATACTTGCACTTGGTTATTCCAGTGCTGCATGGTGTGCATGGGCAAAGCTGTTCTGCCACATGCTTGATTTGACTGACCTGCAGGTATTTGTGAGCCATAGCCCCAGAGCTTCCTTAATATACAGTACATTTGACTCTTTGTAATCTGTCCTAACATACCACAGACACTGCTCTAGCTGTTACTGAAAGTTCACTTCAAATTACTGTGTCAAACTGCTTCTCTGTGAATGCTTTTGGGGTAGAGTTTAGAAAGCTTCTTAACTTTTTAGTTAGGCTGAACATTTATTCTTATATCCCGTGGTGCTTAAGTGAGCAGTCCCATGTTTTTCACTTCATCCTTTTAATCTACCAGTCTGGCAAAGAGCCAGAGAACAGATTCAGTTACAATATTTTGCAACTTTCTTTTAAAGCTGGTGTTCATTTTGATGAAGGGAAGGACTGCTGAAATGACAAGTGATTCAAGAACTGCTTACAGATTGTTATATTTCAATGGTTACAGCATGGTGAATTTTCATTAATAGCTTTGTTTTGAAGAGCTGAATGTTCAGTTATAGTTCGCTGGTCATTCTTGTGTTGTGTTGAATGTTTCTGTATGTGATTTGATGCAGACACCATCTCCCAAGTTGAGTGGAGAGCAGTAGCCTCTCATAATTGTGCTATCACTGTTGATATTCTGTAGTCATTACCTGTTATATTCAAGCTCTAACTAAACAAATGTAATAGTAGTCCCATGATTGTTCTGATAGCTTTGAGGGGCTTTTTCCCTGAAAAAATTCTCAACTTTAAAAAAAAAAATTCTCAGTTTTTGGAAATTAGGGATACAATCTGCTACATTTAGTTCACAGTTATCAGTAAAATAGTTCCTGTTTACCTTTTTATGACTACTGAAGACTTCTGAAGAGAGCCAAAATTTCCTTTTTTGTAAGCTTCTTAATCAGTCTTTTAAACTTTAATGTAGTACATTTAAATATGAATCTTCAGTTTTTGCGTGTAAGAGTGATTATTTAATTTCCTTGCATTCTTCCTTTATAGATAATTGGCTGCCACTTTAGGACAATTCCAGTGAATGAAAAGGACACCTTAACATACTTCATCTACTCAGTGAAGAATGACAAGAACAAACCAGATCTAAAGATGGATAGTGGAATTCATTAGGCAGAAAAGGCTGGGACTGAGACTCAGGCTGCAGATGAAAAGACTGAGGTTTTGTTGATATGCAAAAGCTTTCTTTGTAACTTTTTCTCCTGGGAGAGTTTGTCTGTTTTATTTTTCATAACCTTGCTGATCTGTTTGAAAACCATCTCTTATGAAACAAATTTCCTCAGCAAAAGTATTTTAAATAAATATCACTGATATTGTTGCTCAAATGGGTGTGTCTGTAATTTTAATGAGTTGGACTTGATCCTGACAGGTCCCATCCAGCTCAGCATATTCTGTGATTCTATGATACTTGTACCTAATAGTTAAGCTTTGATGAACTATGTAATTAATATTAAAGTATTTTTCAATTAACACGTGCCAAGGATGTATTTATAAATGTACCTCAAGTGCTCATGATGCAATGCCTTTAAAAAAAAAAAGCTGTAGCAGACTTGGCAATAGGTTCTTTTTCCTAGGGTAAAAGCCTTTAAGTGCCAGTTCTGTTCTTAGCTGGGCAGAAATGGCTGAGTAACACTTCTTTTTTTCCCCTTTGGAAACAAGTACTGGAGGATTTTCTGATTTGTTTATTCATTTGTCATTGCTGAGATACGTGCTTGCAAGCACTGAGGCCTTCCTGCTCCTGTATTAAAATGGAAAAAAATGCAGCTCTCGAATTTCAAAGCTGTAAGTACAGATGAAGAGACTGCTGCAGCTTGCTGTGCTGAGAACTCCTTCGACTCCGTAAGAAATCCTTTACCTGCTGCCTTCTCCATTTGTCTGAGGAGACTGCTGCTAAGAACTTAATTGGAGAATGAGAGTCGAGCCTGTGTGGGTCAATGCAGCCTCTCCTAACAGGCACACTGTGAGTTTTTCATGGCATGGATTAGCTCAGGCCTGTTGAAAAGGAATAACCCCCTCTCAATAAACCCAAAACTCATGGTAACTTATGGAGAATAATATCCAGCAATACTTAGGCTTTTAATTGATTGTCTTAGAAAACTCTGATGTTGAAGATAGTATTATGAATGACTTCTTGTATTGCAACTATTGTGTCAGTCTAAATGTGTGGTGTATGGAATATGATTTCTTTCTGCTTAAAGCTGTGCACATAGGCTGAATAAAAAGCTGAGGGAAAATAGTTTTCATCTTAAAGCTGAGGAGGATATGGCTTCAGCTTGTTCAGTTAGCATACATTTCAACTCCCAACCTTATCAGATGTTTATAAGATTTTTCTTAATTTGGGAAAAATACGAGAGCAGTATGTTTGTGATCTAATCTGCTTGATGTTAGTCTTTCGAGTTCTTTTGAAAATTACTACTCTGCAGTCATCACTACAACTAAGATGCCTCCCTTTGCTTTTTCTGACCTGTGGCGCTTGCACAGAACTGAGTGATGATAAACCCTAACCTCAAACTGGCTGCTTTCCCAATATCTCCCAGTGGTATGATTTCTTTCACTTGTACTGCTTTATGTATTTCCACAATACAGTTCTGCAGTGCTGGCCCAAGTTCAAGACAGTGATATCTAGCTAGTGACAGCTAAAATTGGTGCTCCTTTGAAGATACGTTTTCATGGCCATTTCACTACAGGGACTGTCAATTTGTTTACTAAATGTCTTTTGCACACATTCAAGCTGCTTACCCTTCAAAGTGCAAATTGCATAAAAAGCCAGGGAACCTAGTCAGGGATAGGATATCCAAAGGATAAAGGGTTTTTTTCTGAGTGTATGACAGGGTTGAATGCTTTCACCTAGGCCTGGCAGGACCTGTAGAAGAGTGGGGAAAGAAACAAAAGCAAGTTTCTATGGAAAGTCAGTTTTAAAGCAGTAACTTAAGTGACTCTTATCTTGCTGCATGTGGGAAGTGCAAAGTTTTGGATTGTGGATTTTCCAGGAGTCTTGGAAGAAATTTAACTGAAAGCCACCAACTTTAGTACCCAGTTTTGTATCTGCCTTAAGTTTTTTTTTGCTACAGCTGTTTTGTAAATCTGTGAAGGCCAGGCACATGCAGCATGATTCTTGTAGAAGCTAGATGGCACAAACAGAAGTTTACCTACCCTAGAAGCTTGTAGAGGACTTTACAGAAGAGCATATACCATAGGGTTTTTTTTTCACAATGCACTGACTTGGGATATTTTTCACTGGGTAGCCAGAGTTACGGGTTTTATTTTACTATCAATTGATTATTTGGTAGGAAGCCCAAATTAATCTGCTTGAATAATTACACAAACGAGGGTTTAAAAAATTTACTTGAAACATTTATTATTGGCTGTGTATAATCACCACCTCATCCAGTATCCAACCCTTGTTTACTAACAAGAAGAACAGTCATGGTGATATTTCATACTGACACATGAAGGAAGCATGGGAAGCTGGTGGTAGCTGTTTGGGCCACTGTGTAAGATTAGGTGAACAGTGCAGAGTAGAGAAGACTGCACAGTTCCTTCAGTACTGCACACTCTCCATGTAACTGGCTTGATAGCTGAAGAGTTTATATGTGTAAAGCAGCAAGTCAGGCTTGCTGCCTGTAAGCCTGGCTTGTTCAGGTGACTCTTCTTAAAATTATGTGGTCACTTCTCAACACCTGCCAATACAGATTGCCACATAACAGAAAAATGGTCAAAATTTATGTCTCTGTTTCTATCTCAGATCACAATACCTCTTAAATATGAAGATGATTATCTCTGTGCTTTCTGTAGCTATTGCCTTACAGGGCTAGCCTAAAAAAGCCAGCATTTTAACTTTGAAGTGCTGTATTTCAAAATTTGAATTAAAAATTTGTTGTTCTAATATGTTTAAATCTTCACTGCTAAGATTAAGCAGTTTAAGGGTTTAGAGATTGCATAGTCAAGGCAGGTGACCAGTTAGACTTAAGACCCAACTGTGCTTCAGTACTGTTAATATCAATTTTTACTATTGCTTTATTCCAGAGAAATACTTTCAAATATGGAAATACAGGCCTTTTGTATGTGCAGTTATTTTAAGATGCCTAAACAGAACATGGGAGCCTCTCTTTGGAAGTGCCAGGGATTGAGTGGCTAGAGCTTAAAATTACATTAAAAGTGCCATGGCAGTAATAGAATAGGAAGCTGCACTGCCATAAGTTGCTCTGAGTCATGTTCCTAACAACTTGAAGGCTTAGGCTTGAACTTTCTTTGTCCAGACTAAAGATATTATGCTGAGTAAGAAGAGTTATGCTTTTTGCTGGGGTATGCAATATTAGGATACATTAAGAGCTTGTACAGTCTGTTAAACCATGGAAATGGCTTTATAGGAATTAGGTCAGCACCAGATTTGAAAAGAAAACATCTTAGGTATTTGATATTCCATAAAGGTATAGAAAGGAAATTCTTTTTACAGTGTAAAGTGAGGCAGTGGCTTGTGATTAGAAAGGAAATTTTTTTTGTTGGTGGTAATTTTGTTTTACCCTTGAAAACATTATTACATGATCGTAGAATGATGTCTGTTATCTTCACTTGCAGACTTGAATCACTGACTGTTGCAGGGGATCACAAAAGATATCTTTGGTCCAAAGAAAATATCCCTGAAAGATAGGATCACATGTTTAAACAATTAGATCACTGGTTTATTCGAGCTTTAATATGACATGCATTTCCCGCTGTGGATATTTTTTAGCGTGGATCATGATGTATGTGAGATTACTGTGTTTCTGGGATCTCCCAATGCAAATGCAACTGCAGATCCGGATGAAGATACTGCATTTCTACCTCTGCTAGCCTGCTGTGGGAACAATGATCAAACCTTCACTGGCTGACCAGCTTGCAGAACTCCACCCTGCTATTTTAACTTTGAGAAAATAAACTTACCAAATAGGTTATATGATCAAAATAAAGGACTTTGGCATGTGCACACATACTGTTTTAGTGCAGTTTGTCCCGAGAGCACAGATGCAAAGGAGGTCTTGTGTACCTCAGGATGGTGGAAGGATTTTCTTCTGTATTTGTATCAAAGGAAGAGCTTTACTATGCTGCTCAGAGGTTGAAGCTAGAGACCCAAAGTATGCTTCAGGGTGAGGACACCATATCTGGTTTTAGGGAAAGATGAAAATCTTATTTAAACCCTGCTCTCAGTTTGAATGTGAGATTTTTAACTTTAGAAGTCTTTCCTGCTTGGTTCAACTTGAGTCCCCTACAGGAATGCTGAAAAGTTGCCTTTATTGGATTTTAGGGGACTTGAGAAATGAGTGTTAAGAGAAGCACATATAAAAAAAAGAATTTTTGCTTGCCTATATAATGCCATCACATTTTGGTGCCTCTGAAGTATTAGTAAATTTTGAACTGCTGATATTTCCAATCCAAATTTACTGAAGAAAAGATGTTGCTGAAAAGCTGAACGAAATAATATCTCTTAATACATTTTATTACCTAAAACAAGTATGGGCTAATGGTGTTTATTTAACTCTGTTATGTTCTTTCTACGTAACAACAACAAAAACCGAAGTTCAGTGAGAACTTCACTGCTCAACTTTGTCAGCAGTGTGAGCAAGCCAGGAAGGTGTTGGTGTTCTTGGTCTCAGTCTTTGCCTTGCCTTCACAAGTGTGTGTGAACCCCTGTGCCCGTCCTTTGCTTTTTCTGCTTGTACTGCTTTTAACAACTATTTTTACAGAATTACTTGTTCAACTGACTTATGTGCGTGCACTTTAGAACAGCAGTACAGTTCTCTTCCATGGAACAGAAATGAAATAGGTTTTTTTTGTGGTCCTGAAAATGTCTTAATTGTAAAATACTGTGAATGTTTGATGTAGTTATTCTTAGTTGGGATCAAACATAGCAGTCAAAAGTTGGGTGATTCAAATGCTGAAGTCCCTGTCAATAGGACAGGGAGGTTTACAAAATATGCTAAGCAAGTCCTGTGTGAGCCCCTGAAAAACAAATCCTCAAAACTGACAGTAACAGAAAATTTGCTATATCTTGAATAATTTCAAACCATCTGAAATGAGGAATTGCTTTAAAATGATATCTCATTCCATATATGGAAACTGTAAAATGATGGAAATATAGTGGGCAGTTGTGAAGAGCTATACGAGTTTACATGAAATGCGTGTGATCTTACTTTGGGCAGCAGAGCAATTCATTCAAGTTGCAGTAGCAGATCACCTCACAGCCCTTGCCTTCCCAGAAGTGATCTTGCAGACCATCATCCACGTGTCGGAGGTTCTCCTTGCCCTCCGGGATGGTGTGGCAGCTGTGGTCCTTGAGGGCCCTCTTGTAACAAGAAGGGCGTCGGGAAGGCACCGCAGGGGTACCCGGGAGGGTGCTCAGCAGCAGCAGCAGCACCCAGACCATCTTCATTTTTGCCAAGCTTCCCACAGCAGGGTGCTAAAGAGAAACGAGGTATGTGACTCAGTATTGCTGCTGAACAGAGCTCTTTCCCTCATTTGCTTCCTGCCTTGCGTTTTTCTTTCCTGTGAAGTTTCGGTCATTTGAGCCTGAGTGCTGGAGAGTGTTTTCTCCTAGGAGGTAAATAATATCGCAGCAGAATTGATATTCATTGCTTTCTGTACAACCTTGGGAATCCTTTCATTGTGAATTGAGGCTTCTGATGCTGGCAATTTTGTTGTTTCTTTGGCCTCTCACCCTGAGAAAATTGCTTTGAGTTGGCCGTGCTTTTTTGGAGATGTAAGTGATTGTATCGATTGCTACCAAACCAGGGGGAGATGTCTGGGTGTGTGTCCTTGTCTCCCTGGCCACTTTGCCTGTCAAAACAAGAGTCACTCACATAAAATAAATAGTATCCTTCCCCATCAAAATTGTGGAAAAACTGCTTGCTGATTGAATCCTGTGTCGTGGGCTGTGTGAGAAACTGAGGCATTAAGCAGCTGAGGAAGCCGGAGCTGTCTGCAGTGCTGCCACGTGCTGGGCTCTGGTATGATACAGCATTAGGGAGAATCTTCTTTATTGGGTTTTTTTAGTACTGCAGACTGCTTAGTTGAGTCTTGCTACTGGAGGTCATTATGGTTTAACTGGCTTTTTAAAAGGTAGGATAAATTATCCCTTGCAAAACTCTCCTGCTGGCCACTAGGCTTTCCATTGTTTTGCTTAATATGAGCTCTGCTTCTGTGCTGTTTTACACAGTCTGACCATGTCACAAAGCTTTGGATCCTTGAACTTGCATTCACTTTTAAATTAGGTTTTTGAACAACGTTTCAACTGAGTTTTTACTGCTATTAGGAGAGTGGGTTTTTTACCTTTCCTCATGCTCAAACAAAATGGATCTGTTATCTTAACCAAATTTAAATAGGAATTCTGCTCTGAAAATGAGAATGAAGAATGACCAACTCTGCCCCGCACTCTCCCTGTGTAGGCATTTTTCTTGTGTATGACTTAAGGAGGACTTTGCTGTCCTTCATCTTGTTGGCTCTCTGGAACTGATGCCCTGACATGACGTTATGGGCCAGCCCTGGTCTTCATTGTGGGGCTGAAGATTAGAATGGGCTAACCCAAAAATAACAAGGTGTAAGACAATATCTGATCAAAGGCTATCAAAGGTGAAGTTAACATGGTAGAGCTATTATCTACATAAGGAAAAAAATGTGTTATGCCAGCTGTAGATGTGACTACAATATGAATTACTTTGTAAAAATCTTGAGATCACACTTGAAAAACAAACAGTAAAATTTTAAATATATTAGTCTACAGTATTTTTAGTCATTTTTCTCAGGTAGTTTTCTTGCCACCATAGCTATCTTATCTTCCATTTCTTCAGCCAATTAATAAAACGCCATTTAAGAAAATCTGGAAATTTAGATTCATATTAGGGATAAAATGCAACCTCTCAATGCTTTTTTTTTGTTATTTATTTTTATATTCAAACTTGGGGGTTTTTTTACATCAGTAGCGAAATAAAACATTTAAAAGTGGCCAATATATTAAAGACCATGAGTGAAGTAAGAATAAGCTCTTCTGGATTTTTGGTGGTTTTTTTTTTTTTTGGCTTCAGCTGTAGAAGCAAAATTCATTGAATAATTCCTTTTAGTTTCCATGAACTTGTATGGGAACTTTTGAGTAGAAGATTCCTATAAACTACTAGTAATGGAGCTTGGGGATCTATTTTTAATTACCTCAGAGTGCAGTATTGAATAACATATTGTCTTTATTAGTTTTAGACCTCAAAACTACTACTCAAATAAAGTAAACACTGCCTGGTGTTTTTCAGACTTGAGTGTAGGATCTCTATTATTATATTAATGGTTTTATTTTGTAGGAGTATAAACACTTTAGTTATGAGGGTTCTGCTCAGAGAAGTTTAATGCTTAAAGAGAAAAGATTTGTTGATACTATACCTAGATAAATGCCAGTGTCAGGGAGTACAATTTAATCTTCTGTTCAAATAGTTTGGCTTAATTATTTAAGTATTTAATAGAAGAAAATTTCCATGAAAGAGAAAATAAGGAAACAGCAGGTTTATGCCTTTGTTTCCTGTGATTGGATTATTCTGTGCTCTTCTACTGAGGATGAGGCATTCATGATACCTTGCTCTTGCGAACATTTTTTAAATTTCTAATAGTTCAGGTATCCTTTCCTACCTGGAGTTCAACCAAAATGCCCATTGAATCTGTTGCCAGCCGCCTATTTCCCCAAAATTTGTAGGAATTCACTTCCTGAAAAATAGGCACATTCATCCTGAAAATAGGTGCATTCTCTATTCACTGTCAAATTGCTAGATGCAAAAATCATGACCTACAGTTTTTAAGGTGATTCTGTAACTCACTACTTGCCATTTGAAAAAATAAGAGGATATTGCTGTAGTGTATCATCAGGAGGGTTTCTATGGGTGGGTGCCAAAATCAGTATTAGCAAAGTCAGCATGCTGGAGAGCAATGGATAGACAGCTCCTCTGACCAGTTATGCATTTTACCAGTGATAAACATTGTTATTATTCAGGAAAAAATTATAATTTTGTTTCTGCTTAAATATTTCCTCTGGTTTTGTTTTGGTTTGGTTTGGTTTTTTCCCAGATCATAACCAAACAGAAAATTTATGTCAAAAGACCTTTCTTCAAACAGGTATTTCTTTCCTGGGGGAGAACAGTCCCCATTTGCAGATGACAGATTGCCAAGGAGCTGAAGTGTTTCATCAGCTCCCTGCACAGGATCGATGCAGACCTTTCAGATGCAGCATCTCTGTCTGACAAACTGCTGCAACTTCTTTTCCTGAGTGCAATCGAACAGATGTTGGAGTGTCACTGATTGCCTGGGTAAAGAGCAGAGCTAGTATGTGCATGTTTATTTCAAAATGAGTGTCAAAGGCATTGTCTGCTGTTGCATAGCACAGAAGATAGGCTTTTCTCATAAAACGAGTCAGGAAAATGTGATGAACAAATCCAATTGCTCATGTGGCTCAGAGACTCATTCATTGCCAGCAAGAATCCTCTTACAGTCCTTTCTTTTATAAAGCCTTCTGAAAAGACAGCAATGCCAGGCATGCTAAGCCTGACCAGCTTGCTCTATCAAGATTTTATCATTTCAAATTCTAGCAGGAGTAAAGCCATCTAAAAATACTGAAAATGAGCTCCTGGCATGTGCATAAATTCTTTTTCAGTTAATTATTTTGATTATTTTGACATGGTGTAAGGTTTAACACCAAATATACCTAGGAATACAAGTGCTTTGAAATAATTTGGAGCTTTTCCTAAAGGAAAATGGTTAGTTTGGGAATATGCATGATGAGTCAGGAATTTGTGCTGTCTCTTCTTGTTCAGCTGAAAGTGTTTGAATTACCTTGCCAGGCAATTTGGCACCATCTAGTCTTTGGATCCGCTAGATGCAGAGGTAATCAGACTGAAAAGAAAACCCCAAGTCTCAGCCTCCTTGTCCAAGAACAGCAGGGTAATAATTCATGAGAAGTGATGTCCTTTAAAGGTCACACAGTATCAGTAGGAGCTCAGGTGTTAGAAAGAGAGAAAACTGAGAAATGGCACAAAATGTGTATTTTGGCACTTCTAGAGATCCTGCGTAGTTGGGAAAATAGAAATATTTTTAGGTTGGTCTATCAACCATTAAAAATATCAATCCCTCATTAAATATATCCTTCTTTTTTCCTCAAATAGGTTGTATTTCTAGTTGCCTAATTTTGAAAGCAAGAAATACATTAATTGGTACACTTTTGGTGTATGTTCTTTTCCACTTTGTCCAGTGGTATGTGCCAGGTGAACAAGTTGCACTTCAAAAGCATATATATATATTAAAATTATTTCACATAAAAATGTATTTTAGTGTTTATTTATTTGTCAAATTTGCTTTTCACAACCACCTTTAAAATGCTGAGTATTTGGTATTTAGGTGTTAGTGCTTGATACTTAGGTTTATTAGTGCATTACTAAAAAATCATTACACAAGAACTGCATAACAGATAATATCCTGAAGAATTTTTTCCATTTAAAAAAATTGTTAAATCAATTTTGCTTGAACAGTTGGTGCACTGTAAGGACAGCAGCTATTCCACTGAGGACGAATTCTGTGAATTACTGCTTTGTAATTGTCATCAATACCATGATTCTCTCCAGAAACTGAGTTCTCATTAAACCCCAATTAGTTTTCTTTAAGACAGCATTCATCGTGAATACACCTCTCTGCATATTACATTGAGCACTGGAAGGCAATATAGTATATTTAGGGACTTCAGATGTTCATATGTAGTATCCAACTTCAAAGAAAAGCAAGATAGTAAAAGAATTATTTTGATCTGGATCCCAGCCATGCAACTGTCTTGAATGGTACCTCTTGCCTGCAATATAACAGCTTCTCCCAAATCTTCTTCTGCATGTTCCCATATGTATTTCGAATTCTGTACTCTGTAACTAGAAGGAACAGGTAGACAAGGATAATTTCAGGAGCAAAACATACCTTTATCTTCTGGTTCACTCCCTTCCACTTTCTTGGCAGCGGTATCTTTTGAGATGTACCCAGAGAGAGCTAGAGCTAGCAGGGATGAGAAGAGGGAGGGAGGGCTGATGGGAGATGCTGTACAAACAGCCCTTTGTTTGTCCTGACTTCTGCCTGTGAGTGATGAGCACTGTTCTCCTGCAGTGGGTCAGAGGATGGGATTCAGGAGCCTCCTCCTTCATCACTGCCAGCCTGGTTTTGGGGCAAAAATTTAACATATCCCTTCCAGCAGGAAACAATTCATCCAGGATCTGATGCAAAGGTGTGTCTTCAAAGAGCAAAGCATAACATCCAGAACAAGAGAAGAGGAGAGATCCTGTGGAATAACTGTATCTTGCTTGTGGGGTGTGAGCAGGCTGGGGAAAATGGGAAGGAGCAGCTTTCTGGGGTTGCACAGCCAGAAAAACATGGTTTCTATACAGGTGGCTTATTTTGCGTTTGGTGGACAAGAACAGGCCACTCAACAATCTC